TCCCCTCAGCAGTGTACTTCTTGATCTGCCTGTTCTGCTCCCCACTCTGTCTCTGGTGAAGCCTCTCGCCACCCCTGACCTCTGGCTTGTACCCCAGTTCTGTATGCACAAATAAATAAATCTTTCAAAAAAAATTTCCCTACCTTGAGTTCCTCAACTGTGAAACAGAGGTAGTGACAATGCCTGCGTGACAGCAGGGATGTGAATATTCTACGACAAAAGGCAGAAAGTATTAGCTGGAGATCAGCGTTGGTTTTGCAGCACCCTGACACAGGTAGAGCCCCCCTGCAGCGCCAGTGACACCTCCAAACTCCCTTCCCCAGAACTGCTTGGCACGGATTGTGCATGTATCACACTATTGCTGTGCTTGCTTTATGTTAGTGTCATTTTTGATTATTTGGTGGATTATAGTTTTGGGGCTAGGAATGCTCAACAATTTCATATAAATTAATGGCAATTGCTTCTTTGCTTGATGTCACTTCAGTTTAAGAAAGGTGTCCGTAGGAATGCGACTGTCAGAGAGTGGTGTGGGGGGCATGCCCACACAGTGAGTCGGTAGAACCCTCCTTTTTCCTTAGCATGATTGTTCAAGGGGTCAAGGAATAGGAAGCTGTGAGCATTTCTGTCCACGGAACACCGTTGGTAGGGTCCTGTTCCCACTCTGTCCCTCAGTGACCTTGTCCAAATGTGCATGGCACACTAGCCAGCTCCGTGTGCCTCTCCACAACAGGGCCAGGCTCTGTGTGCTTTTTCCAACAGCCATTTGATGGAGGAATTTTTCAGTTAATTTTGCAGGTAGTTTTTGGAGCTTCTTGGTAACAATGGCACGTTTGCCCATTTTCCTACTTGGTTTTGGCCTCCTTCATTCTTTAGTGACAACATGAGCTAAGTTGATGTCAGAAAATATTTCTTTTTAGGGAATATTTGTTCTGAAAAGTATTGAGGTTTAATTTGAAGATGTAGAGAACACTGATGGCTTCATGTTATAATCTGACCACTTCTTTTTTAAAAAAAGGTTTATTTTTTTATGCATACAAGAACTGGGGTACAGGCTAAGGTGCAGGGGGTAAGGGGAGTTGCCAGAGATAGAGTGGGGAGCAGAACAGGTAGATCTACTAAAATACACTGCTGAGGAGAGCTGCAGGAGAGGTCTGCTGCACCATGTGGCTCAGCTCCCTGCCCGGGAATTGAACTCATGCAGCAGTGTCTGTGGATAGCTTCAGAGAGTTGAGACAAAACCTCTTCTACCTCCAGGGAGGCCCCAATCACTTTTTATAACAGACATTGCATCCAGGGTGAAATGGAGGTGAATCAATCAAACCCAATCTTCAGATACTCACCAGTGAATTTCCTGTTCTTCCTTCTCATTGTTAAGGGGAATAATGTACTCACAGAATGTCTATGTCCTGGACATACTTTGGGGCTCTATAGTTACACTGGTGCCCTGTTCCTATGTTTGTGATGTTATTTTATTTTATTAAAAAACTTTTTTTTAAAGATCTATTTATTTGTGCATACAGAACTGGGGTATAGGCCGGAGATGCAGGGGCGGTAGGAAGATTCGCCAGAGTGGGGAGCAGAACAGGCAGATCAACGAAGTACACTGCTGAGGGGAGAAGCAGGCAGGTCAGAAGAGGTCTGCCCACCATGTGGTCACCTCCGGGGCAGGCGGGGATCGAACTCATGTGGAAGTGGCTTTAGCTTCTTAGTGCTGTGCTTTAACCTGCTGTGCCACCAGGGAGGACCCTGTGGTGTTATTTTTTGAGTTGCATTGTTTGCAGTAATATTTAGATTATTACTTAAAGACTCAGGCGAACCATTTTTTGTGATTGGGGCTACTCTCTACACAGGAGTAGAGCTATGTTGAGGGATGTTTGCTGAATGCATGAGGAGCTAATCAACTAACTGCTATTAAGAGTGTAATGGGATTTCTGTGAAAATCTAATTGCTTATATTTCAAATTCGTGAATACATTTGCTTTAATGCTTCTTTTCCTCTGAAGACACCCAACCTACAGGGAATGTTGGGGCCATCTCCTCACGCTTTTTGATGAGAATATTTCTGCAACAGAACTGGTGGATGGGATATGGGTGAGGTGAAAGTTTAAAGAGAACAGAAAACAGAAGGAGTAATAGGTCTGAGCTTCCAGTCTGGACAGTTGGGAAGTCAGGAATTTAAACGATATCCTAACAGGTGTTTCCATCTCTTCTTCCTTTGTACCTTACAGAGTAAAAGCCAAGGATCCATCTTTGTCCGGATACATGCCCCGTGGCAGGTGCTGGCCAGAGAGGCAGAATTCTTGAAGATTAAAGTTCCCACCAAGAAAGTACGAACATGCTTCTTTTGGGTTTGGGAGTCTCCTTGGCAAGGGATGTGTGCAGTGTGGGAACAGTGTCAGGTGGGATGTGCTTTTTGTGGAGTTGAAGTCATGCTTGCCTACCCCAGAACCCTAGGTTTGGGGCAGTGATGTGGCTGGGTCAGGGAAGAAAGCTGGGTGGGGCTTGGGAGAGGCTTGCTCTCACAGTATCACTTGGGATGAGCTCCGTAAGAAGCCAAACATTGCCCTGGTCCAGTTTCTTGATTTCTCTCTTATGCTTCCTTTCTCCCAGTTCTTGGGGCTCAGCCCCTCTTTAGAGGAAATGTTGGAGTGAGGGCAGCCTGGATGAGCAGCAGGCAGGGAGAATCACACCAAATTCACTGTGAAGACACCTGTCTTCCCGAAGTAGTGTGTGGTGGTTTTTACTTGTTTCTTCTTCACACTAGAATGTTCTTACTCAGATGAATTGATGAAAATTGTTTGGGAATTTTCCTAAGTGTTCTTAAGTCCACCTCGGGTTTTGATTCCCTTGGTTGGCATGAAATGAGGAACTAGCATCTGTAATGGGGAAAAAATTCCCCAGGAGGTTTTGATGCACATCTAGGTCGACAGCCACACAATTTAATAATTTTTTAAAGGTCCTATTGGAAATCAATATAGTCTATGTATAATTTACCAATTCCACTGAAAAATCCCTAGGCGGCAGACTCTCTGTGTAACAAAATCAGCAATCACCTCCGAAGAGAAAGGACATGTGTCCACAGTCTCGTTATGTTTTTCTTAGCAAGCATTTTAGGAGAAAGGAGCAGTTATAAACTGTGACCATTGAGAGTCTCTAGGGAAGGTCCTTGGGCAGATGGTCCTGTCGTTTAACCCAGTGATCTGTGGCTGCTCCCTCTGATTCTCTGCCTTCTCTATGGAAGCTCACATATACAAGAGTAACTTCACAAGCTGTCATAAGTGATGACCTGGCTTTGCGGAGGTCATTTTCATTGTTCCAACGACCACCCCCACAATTCCTGCCCTCCCCACCACGATGCATGCACTGTCACTGTTTCCTGTGTCACCACTGTGATGGCTGCCTTCTCATGGTCTCCACCTCAGAGCAGGGTTACAGTTGGCAGTGCCATTTTTTAAAAAAAAGATTTATTTATTTGTGCATACAGACCTGGGGTACAAGCCAGAGGTGCAGGGGCAGTGAGAGGATTCACCAGAGACAGGGTGGGGGGCAGAACAGGCAGATCATTGAAGTACGCTGCTGAGGGGAGCAGCGGGGGGTCAGGAGAGGTCTGCCGCGCCATGTGGTCACCTCTGGAGTGGGGGATTGAACTTACAGTGAAGCAGCTATGGCTAGCTTGCAATACTGGTCCTAACCCGTTGCGCCAAGGGGTGGTGGCTGACAGTGCCATTTTGAGTAGCGCTCTGCTGATACCATCTTCACCCCCAAACAGACCCCTTTACCCAGGGAAGCTCACTCATTTCACACCCTCAAGTTTTATGCCATCAGGATGATAAAAATCTGTTTTTAGAGATTTGTTTAGACAGAATGGCGATGAAACCATGAACACACACAGACATGTTATGAGTTACAAACATTTGACCATCGAAAGGTCAGTGTTTTGGGGTCGCCTGCCTGAGTGGCATGGTTTCACGAGGACACACGATAACCTTTTCCTGTCAGTTGAACTGCTGAGCATTATGTCACCTGGGCTCTATGTCTCCTGGTGTGAGACTGCTCGCTCCAATACCCCTGGCCTCAAAGACAGGCATCGTTGTTGTTTCTGACTCTACTGCTCCCTCATCGCTGTTCTCCCATTTCTGGCAACACCACCCAAGTCTTAGCCTTGGAGGGAGGCTTCTGCTTCTGGCGATGCCTTAACTTGGTCAACTCTTTCTCTTCTCTTTTGTATTCCGCCCCCCCCCCCCACTCTTTCATAGTTCTCTTCACGCCCCCCCCATCCATCCACCCACCATCTATCTCTTGTCCTGTCTTTGTTTATCAGATATATAATACCTCTTAATCTCATTTTATTTGTATCTTATTTCTGGTGTTTTTATCTCTGTTGGCTATCCTTGGAAAGAAGGTGAGCAAACTCTACTACGCTGTTGTGTCCAGTCCTCCCCACCCTGGACACACCCTGGATCCTTTCAGCAGGAAACCAGGAGACACAGGAGAAGGTGTTCTACCCCACCTTTGTCTCCTGTTTCCTTTGACTCTCTTTGCCTCCTTTTCCACTTCCTGCTCTTCCACCCCGTCTTCCCTCTCCCTTGTACTTCCCTCTCCCGATGCTGCCTCCCAACCTCCTTGATTTTTACCACAGTCTTCTCTGCCTCTTGATTATTCTCTTCATACCCCTTTGCTGTGTCCTCCTTGTTTCCATGCAAGGAAACAAGTACAGCCTGCCTCTGGCCCCTCTCGTCTCTTCCGTGTCCTTTTACAAGCTCAAACCTTTGAGAGCACAGTTCTGCTTCAGTGGCAATGCGCTCTCTCAGTCTGAGTGGCCCTCCGTCCCCCACGTAGCCTTTTGGAACTTAGCATTTGTGGTCTAGTAGTAACTGCCCCTGAATGTGGAGGTGCTGTAGATGAGATGATTTCGGCATGGACATTTTCTACAGCCATTTCTGAGTTTCCCTCCTCCGTTTTCATTTTGGTGACACAGCATGGTAGACTCTACACCAGAAGAGTCCTCCAAAGAGTAGACTCATAACTTTGGCTCTGTACTCCTTAGCTGTGTGATTTGGGGGCATGTCTCTTCATCCCCCATGGGAGGAGAGTGAAGAAAAAAGGAGACCAAGAGGGGGAGAGTAGAGACATTCCCCCATCCAGAGCCTTGATTTCTTCATTTATGATGTGGATATAATAAGATCCTGCTCCTTTCTTAGGAGTTTGTTGTAAGAATTCAAGTCTTAACCAGTGCTATGGAAATACTGGAGTTTATTTTTGTGTCTGTGTACTCAATTATTTTCACGTGTATTCTCAATTCTCATTCCCCCGCCAGCTTCCTTCCTTATTGAATAGGCAGCGGACCCCCATGGAGCTCCTCCTGTTAGGGAGTATTTGGTGAGACTCTGAGGGTATAGGAACAATGCATGGCCCCGGAGGGCCACCCTCCAAGGGTGGAGAGGCAAGACCACACACCCCGTCATCAAAGCGCTCATTAAATACTGTGTCAACTAGCAACTCATTAGCACAGCACAGGCTCTGTCTATAAAAATGGCAGACCAGGGAGTCTGGGGAGAGCCAAGCCAGCTGGTTGCTCCTACAAGGCTGCAGATCAAACAGAAAGAAATTTCCCCACAGTTTCTGGGTCCCAGGCTCAGCCAGGTGGGCTGTTCCGACTTCCTGCTGTAAGATCAGCCACGTGGCCTCATCATCTTTGAATTCATGGCATGCAATGACTTACAGCCGAACTTGCAGGGCATGCCACAGCTGAGAGAGGGGGAGAAAACTTGGTAGGCTGGACAGAATGCATCTTTTTGTTAAGAGTGATCTGAGAACCTGATCCCAGGGTTGGGGTGTGAAACCCATTTTGCAAGAAGTAGGCATGCAGGAGAAGGAGAGACAGGGTAGCTGTGGAGGGCTAGGGTTGGGTCCCTTGCCATTTGCCCCCCTTTTGTGGGCTTGGGAAGTGACTGTTTTGAGAGGAAGCCACATCTGCACAAAACACACCCTGGTGGCAGAGGGAACATTGAGGAAGCCGGAGGCATGGTGTGTGAGAGCAGCAATGTCCTCCAGACCAGTGGAGGTTTGTAGCATAACTCAGCAGGGTCCAGAGAGACCAGGAAGACCAGGAAGATCTCATGAAATTAAGATCTCTGAACAAATCCATAATAATGCGTCCAGAGACTCAGCGTCCCAAGCACAGATATTAACTGGGAGGAATCTTGGAAGGAAGCATTTGTTTTCCAAAAACAACAACAGGAGAGCCAGCATTCCCCTATCCATACACAGGAAGGGGGCCAGAAGGCAGCGCTTGGCCCCAGCAGGCTGGGAAGTTTGAAGTGGGTGCTTTCTCACTTCTGCTCATGACCAAGGTGGTGCTTCTAGATTGTGGTCAACAACTATGCTTCCTTCTCTTTCACTTTTTCATGTATGTGAATGTCTCATCCCTTTCGCGCCCCTGACATTTGCTTATTCTTCGTTGCCTCCTGCTGAGGCTGGGCTGGGAATGGGCCAGAGGGAGATAACTGAGTCAATAAACTCATGTTAATCCAGCAACAATCCGCAACATTTGGAGGAAGTGACAGGTCTGGGATGGATAAAAATCACGTTTGTCTAACCTGTCAAAGGTTTTATAGCTATTATTAAGAGAGTGACTGATTCGGCTAGGGTCAGCCTGGCTGTTCCTAGGAGCCTGAAAGACTTTAGCTTATGAGCTCTTGGCATGCAAGGGACTTCCAGAAAGTCATATTGTCTTAGGAGAGCAGGCTCAGAGCTCTTCTCATCTCCAGAATGGGAGTAATGTACTCAGGATGTCATGCAACACCTAACTGCTACTATTACTGCTGGTGGTATTGTTGTTCATAGGTGGTGTGAAAGGCAGTAACAGATCAATGCACCTCTTCCTGCTGCGTCCTTTCATGGCCAGCATCTGCAATGTTGGAGGGAACTTGGACCCCATTCCATAAATCTGCCAAGGCAACCAGAGCCCAGACCTGGATTTGGTAGAGAGGCAGGAACAGATGGCTTTTGGACTGTGTGCTGGGGGATTTCTGTTTCCTACCACATAGGTCCTTGGGGCACCCATGAACATAATGGCTTCATGTGCGAGGTCTGTGGTGTAGTATGTAGAAAGGCAGCAGGAAGACTGCACTGTCCCGCTGTGCGGGAGGGAGACCTTGAAGGTGTCCATTTCAAGGGCTGCACGGCAGGTGTGACGAGTGCAGACCTTGGTCCTACAACTGACTCTGATAACTCTGGGGTTATTGGGGCCCTATCTTGACCTGTTTCTCAAAACAGGAGTTATGATAGATTACAACAAAAGATTACAATCACAAAAACTATGATAGTGTAAAGCAATGGCTCATTTTAAAAAAGGGCCAAAAGCAGCCACCCCAAAACAATGAATCATGTAATCAAAGGGAAGTAGGGAAGTTCAGAGGGAAATCATGACAGTAGAAATTTAAAAAGGAAGAGCGATTGAGGTAAGTGAGACAAACTTACTTCTGAGCATCCTGGTAGACAAGGCAAAAAAGACTAGAACTCACACAGTCCATGAAAATGAGTATGTGTTTGTCAGAGAAAACAGTTTTTTTCCGGCTGTTAAAGCATAATTACTATATAAATGACATGAACATATGAGACATTTTTAAAGTAATGAGTTTATATAAAGTATAGGAATTCTTGGTATGTTCATTTCTTAAACTGATTTTGGATAAAAACAGAATGAGATGTTCAGGGACGGCTGTACTATAAAGTAAGTTTGTACATTTCTGATGAGCTAACTTGATTCAAATATGAAGGTTAAAGCAGAAATGTTACTCACACTTTATTTCTCCCCAGAGTATTCATGTTTTCTAATATTTGTAGCTACGGAGCTACATCTATTAAAGAATAAGTCCTCTGTTCATTTTTATTAGCTAAAA